ACACACAGAGAACACAAAGAGAACACAAAGAGAACACACAGGAAACATACAGAAAACACACAGAGAACACACAGGTAATACACAGGAAACACACGGGTAACTCACAGAGAACACACAAAGAACAAACAGAGAACACACAGGTAATACACAGGAAACACACGGGTAACTCACAGAGAACACACAGAGAACACAAAGAGAACACAAAGAGAACACACAGGAAACATACAGAAAACACACAGAGAACACACAGGGAACACACAGGTAGCACACAGGGAACATACAGGGAACACACAGAGAACACACAGGTAACACACAGGGAACACACAGGTAGCACACAGGGAACACACAGGTAGCACACAGGGAACATACAGGGAACACACAGAGAACACACAGGGAACACACAGAGAACATACAGGGAACACACAGGGAACACACAGGGAACACACAGGGAACACACAGGGAACACACAGGGAACACACAGGGAACACACAGGGAACACACAGGTAGCACACAGAGAACACACAGGTAGCACACAGAGAACACACAGGTAACACACAGAAAACACACAGGTAGCACACAGAGAACACACAGTTAGTAACACAGGTAACACACAGGTAACACACAGAGAACACACAGGTAGTAACACAGGTAACACACAGAGAACACACAGGTAGTAACACAGGTAACACACAGAGAACACACAGGTAGTAACACACAGAGAACACACAGTTAGTAACACAGGTAACACACAGGTAGTAACACACAGAGAACACACAGGTAACACACAGAGAACACACAGGTAGTAACACAGGTAACACACAGGTAACACACAGAGAACACACAGGTAGTAACACAGGTAACACACAGGTAGTAACACACAGAGAACACACAGTTAGTAACACAGGTAACACACAGGTAACACACAGAGAACACACAGGTAGTAACACAGGTAACACACAGGTAGTAACACACAGGTAGTAACACACAGGTAGTAACACAGGTAACACACAGGTAGTAACACACAGGTAGTAACACACAGGTAGTAACACAGGTAACACACAGGTAGTAACACACAGGTAGTAACACACAGAGAACACACAGGTAACACACAGGAAACATACAGGTAATACACAGGTAATACACAGGTAACACACAGGTAACACACAGGTAACACACAGGTAACACACAGGTAACACACAGGTAGTAACACACAGGTAGTAACACACAGGTAGTAACACACAGAGAACACACAGGAAACACACAGAGAACACACAGGTAATACACAGAAAACACACAGGTAACACACAGGTAACACACAGGTAACACATGTGCATTGTGTTGCTTTGCAGGAATGTGAACAAGCCAGAGTTAAACACAGTTACAGATATCGTTCTTGCTGTTTCTATTACTTTTGAAGAAGACCAGTCTAAGGTTGTCTTGTTACAACAAATGCTATTAGCTGTTCCCTTTTCTATCCAGGACTCTGATACATTTTATTTTATCACATATTACATCCTAAAAAGCTACGCCATGAATAATTAATAGCGGAATAAAACACAATCCGCTTCCCTAATTGCAAATAAAACCCTTCAGTGACGGATATCCGAACAAGTATGCTTTCAATGCCGTGTCCTTTTGAAGCCTCATTGTGTTTTCTGCTGTTGTTTTTCTGATGAAGCTAACATCAACTTTCTGTTCCCAGGAGATACACTCGTTACTTTGGGACCAAAGGGGATGCTTCCCCCTCATTAGGTCACTACGCACTAACACACTACAGACAGTGGGAGAAGAGCATTGACGAGTGGCAAAGACCCATTCTCCAGGACAGGTAGTTGACAGTTCAAACATTGATTATAAATTATGAAGACGTAAATAACAATAGCTTTCCATCCATGAAAGCTTATAAGTGTTTATCACCTTGGCTTGTGTTGCAGCTCCCTCCCCTCCTGGTATAAGTCGGCCCTATTTAACGAGCTGTACTTTGTGGTGGATGGAGGGACGGTGTGGACGGAGCTACCGGAGGACGCTGATGTCAGTGGGGGGGTGCGCAGCGAGGACGGGGGGCTGCCAGCTCAGCCCGCCGTCGTTAAAGAGTTCGGACGTTTCGCCTACCTAGAAGGTAAGTGACACTTGATCGACAGAAAAGTACCGTAATTTTCGGACTATAAGCCGTGCCTTTTTTCCCATTTTTCGACCCTCCGGCTTATATAACGGTGCGGCTAATCTATGGATTTTTACAGCTGACGGCCACTAGGGGACCTCCTAAATCTATGGATTTTACAGGTTACAGTCCACCACCTTTAACTCTATGGGCTCTATGGCCGGTCCGCGCCCCCCACCTTTAGGCGGCGGGCTCCAGCAGGAAAAGCTGGAGGCCGGAAAAGAGTGAGACAGGTAGCGCGCAAAAGTAAAAGTGGAACCGAGAGTGGTACGAGAGACAGAACGAGAGCAAGACAGACAGACATTACGAGAGCGAGACAGTTTGTCCCCGTACCACTGGTTGAAAACCACTGCTGTAGATCACTGCCGGTACGTGCGCTGGGAGCGCACCGTTTAAGTTTGAAGGTTGAAAAGTTTGTGTGTCTGAAACGCTATGTGATACAGTACAGTATACACAGCACATGTTCTGTAGCTACTATTGCACTAAATGGTAACACTTGAATACGTTATGCAAATATGCAACTTGTTTGTTGAAATGTTAATAAATGGGAGCTTCCTCAAACAGCCATCTCTTTCCCGACAATCCCCTCTGTGCACGAACCCTTACATATGGTAATTAAACATTAAAACACCTGCGGCTTATAGTCCAGTGCGGCTTATATATATACACATCATTCAATTTAGCTGCTGCGGCTTATATTCAGGTGCGCCTTATAGTCCGAAAATTACGGTAATCTGAAACTTGGCAATCCATGATAGTTTCAGTTATTTCTCATGCAACACATTTTAACTTCTTTTACGGGAGGAGTGTCTGCTTTCCCCTACTTTATGATGGTAAACTGAATATTTTGGGGATTTGGGTAATTGTTTGAAATTTACAAAACGTTAGAAGAAATCATCTTGAACTCTAGGAAATGATAAAGGGTATCTTCATTGAAGAGACTTTTTGGAGATAAACAATTATTTGATTTATTTCAAAAAATGATTAATCAATATGAACAGATAGTTGGTACTTTTATGTTATGTTAGAAATTATTAACTTTGAGCACTTTCTAGCACTTTATTGATTGTAGTTCCTAATTAACACATTTTAAATATCAGATAAGGTGAACACACCCAAAACTGTGTTGGTATGTTTTGATTGTTTGTTCCCTCATGCTGTGTTTTGGGGCAGCTACAACACTAAAAATGTTTAACCATGAGATATTTGTTGAGTAAAAAGAAAGATATGTCTTAATTAAATATGAAACGCACATAACTAAGCTATTGTTTTTTTCCCAGGTCAGGAGTACAGAATGTACAACACATACGACGTGCACTTCTACGCCTCGTTTGCACTTATCATGCTGTGGCCTAAACTTGCCTTGAGTTTGCAATATGATATTGGTGAGTGAAGTGCTTTCATCTGAGCGTTTGTATCAACTATCTCATCATGTGTGTTTGATAAAGAGCAATGCCAGGGCAAAGTTGAACAGCTTTGATATCTTCTCAGCCGGCAGTGTGGTTCAGCAGGACCCCATGGAGAGGCTGCATCTGATGAGCGGGCGCTACTCTCCTGTCAAGGCCAAAAACGTGGTACCTCACGACATAGGAGACCCAGGTATGAAGAGTGAAACTAGAAAGTGAAAAACTAGGGTACACTAAATGAAATACATTAAGAAGAATTACATTCCAGTGGTGGCTGCGTAGGATTGTTTCCCAATGGTGTGATTCAAACATTTCTTAACTGTCTTCAAGTCTTTTTTACTGGATTGTCTCATTGCACAACATGATGACTCTTTCCCTAGATGATGAGCCGTGGCAGAGGGTAAATGCTTACCTCATCCATGACACTGCAGACTGGAAGGACCTGAACCTGAAGTTTGTGCTGCAGGTCTACAGGGACTTTCATCTCACTCAGGACCATCAGTACCTGAAGGACATGTGGCCCGTCTGCCAGGTACGAGGGATCTATGGGGTCTTAACGGTGCTGCATTTGAGAGTTGAAGCCCATCTGTAGTCATAACATAATTATCCTGGATTTGATGTTGCTTGTTCCACTTAAGCTTTGTTATTGTGGTTGGTCTTCTAGGCGGTGATGGAGTCAGAGATGAAGTTCGACTTGGATGGAGACGGCCTTATAGAGAATTCTGGATATGCCGACCAGACTTATGACGGCTGGACGGTTACGGGACCAAGGTGAGAGGATGAAAAAACATATTAGCTCTGAAAAAAAAACATGATACATAGATGTGTACTTTATTGATCCCCAAATTAGGAAATTATTTTATTAGATATCAGGTTACAAAAATGTGCAGAAATCGTTGCCCTTATTGTGAGTACACATGACCTACTTGTGTTGTCTTATACCCCATAGATTTCAAATACTATGATATACTACAAGAATAATTGTAGCAATCTAGCTTAGTAATACTACCCACTACTGAAACTTTATATCAATAGAAAAATGAATTCTATTAAATTAGAAACCTTGAAGCAATTCAAAGTTAACATACAAAAACCCTCTATTTAATTAAATCAATCCTTAACAGGTCGTTCAATTAATTGAGCACTCCTCAAACAAATAAAGTACTGTATGATAATTTCATTTAAAGGTTACGGTCTGCATTAGATGGCAAGGAAATGTAAAAAGCATGACTTGTGTGTAGCTGCAGGGCTTTCGCTAAATGTGATTAGATTAGAGTAAGAGTAAAGATGAAGGGCTTTCCTTGTACATTTACAATTATATCTATTTTTATAATTAGATCTTGCAAGCTGGGAAATCAACTTAGGAAACGTTAGGGTTTTTATACATTGGCAAGATCAATTGAAGAAAAATATGATGTCATTAGCAAATGTTTTGTAATTAAAATATGACAATCAGAGCTTATTACCCCTTATTTTACAGTTTACATTGAACTAAAATTCTTATATTTTTGTTTTTTTGCAGTGCGTACTGTGGTGGGCTGTGGTTAGCGTCCCTGTGTGTTATGTGTAAAATGGCCAAACTGGTGGAAAATGAGGAGGCATACAAACGCTACAGAGACATCTTGGACCGGGGCAGCGCTGCTTATGACAAACTGCTGTGGAACGGTAAATGATCTCTACTAGTCCAGTGATTGTGCAAAATGTCCCCTTTGGTATTACTGCTTGCAACCGTCTCAAGCTCTGCTCTTATAAAGAACTTCACACTTGACATTGCGCTCCCTATGGCGATAGACTTCCGGGACATAGTTGTGATACAAAAACATGTTCCCGATACTCAGAAACACTTACCAATACTGTCTGTCATACTGCTTTTTGTTTATTCCCTATTTTCCTCTCATGTTTAGGCAAGTACTACAACTATGACAGCAGTGGGAGGGACCTTTCTAATAGCGTCATGTCTGACCAGTGTGCTGGCCATTGGTTCCTGAAAGCGTCTGGACTGGGAGAGGGAGAATACCAGGCAAGTTAAAAAAAAACAAGCCCTTATGAAGAAGTGCGACAAGAAAGATTCCCTATGCCAACCTACAGATTAGACAAACATCAATAAAGTCATGTTTTTCATTAGGACATACTTCAAACCTTTGTAGTCTCAGCATCACTTCCCCTCTCTCTCTCTAGGCTTTTCCCAAAGAAAAAATTCAGACCGCACTGAAATCTGTCTTTGACTTGAATGTAATGAGCTTCGCTGGAGGCCAGATGGGGGCAGTTAACGGCATGCGCCCCGAGGGAGTGCCTGACCGCTCCAGTGTCCAGTCGGATGAAGTCTGGATTGGAGTCGTGTATGGACTAGCAGCCACTATGATACATGAGGTAAGTGTGTATGTTTTTTAGTCTATACACCTTACATTAAAGGGGTAAAACAATTTGGTATATATTAGTTTTTTTCCCAATGCCTCAACTAAGAAATCTATTTATTGAAAGCCTGCATTCAAAGTTTTCTATGGTTCAAGGTCTCGTTATATTTTAAACTTAATGGAGGCAAGTATCTTAGGAGAAGCACTTCAGCTAGGGAGTAGAGAGTAAATGATTGGACACATTATAACAATCCTCTGAAACACTGCCTCATGCCTCTCTGGCTGTCTGTTTTTCAGGGGATGCAGGAGGAGGGTATGCGCACGGCGGAGGGCTGCTACCGAACCGTGTGGGAGCGGCTGGGCATGGCCTTCCAGACTCCTGAAGCGTACTGCGAGAAGGGAATCTACCGCTCTCTGGCATACATGAGGCCTTTGAGTGTGTGGGCCATGCAGCTGGCCCTCAACACTTCACAGAAGGATCAGACCACAACAGCTCAAACTGAAGCTACAGATGGAGAGCACGGACAGGATTTGGGAGAAACTCAGAGCTAGGACCTGATTATTAAAACTGGTGTGACTAGGAAGGTCTTCTGAAAGTAACATCAAAACTCTCCTGCAGTCATCACCCTCATCTGCACCGCTGCCCTGTCTAGTCACAGACTTTTAACTTAATTCTCCACTGTTTTTTTCTTCAAATGTTTGAGACTCAAGGTCAGCACTCTGATGGTTTACGCTTGAAAAACTCAGTAGCTACTGTAGATCATGATATTGTTAGGTCGGAATCTGAAGAGACTGCAAATGGTTCCTAATTTTCTTTTGTTGTCATGATGTGTAGGGTGATATTCAGGCCATGTCAAAATCATAGCCAGTGTGTATTTCTAACTCAAATGTGACCCTTTGTTTCTGTAACATATTGTCTACTTTCCCACCTTTACATTCATTTGCAAGCACTACACTTCACAGTTTTTCAATAATATTGTTGAACACTTGGAACAAGTTAATATGCTTAATATTTTAGGACAGTTTTTTCTTTTTATACTAGCCTCAAGCAGTCACTATTGTCTTTGACAGTCGGGTTCACAAGAGGGCCTGTGAGTGAATCAAACAAGATTTGAAATATTGGTCAATAAAAACGGTCGATTAGAAGATTTCCTCTAAAATTTGAATTCTGTTCTTGGTAATGTAATATGTTTTTTGTTTAATAACATTTGGTGCCTTGTTGCATGTTGGCCACATCTACAGTATATTAATGTAGTGGCAACATTTACTATATTTTATAAAATCCAATACTCATGACAATCATGCTGAATAAATGACTGAATAATAAACCGGAGGTTAATTGTGTTATTTAAATGTATATTGATAAAGTTGTTAGTAAATACAAAAAAACTATCTGTGTACAACACTTTACATTCACAACTTGTAAGATGTCGACGTTTCACAGAACTCTTGGTCCAAGTAGCTAAATTATTAGCCATTCATATACATTTCATTCATTGGTTGGACTGGATGATGTAAGTTTGATGTGTAATGTTGGCTGGTAATATAGCAGAAGTGAAAACATCTTTGTGGAAAAAGGAACAGGTATATCTATCTTTTTCACATAAATGCAGCGTTCACAAAATTAGAACAACTTTACAACTATACAAACTATATGATAACACTTTTAAATGTCACCAGCCCAACACTATAGTATCCAAATGACCATAATGTTTGATCAAGATCTCTCTTAATCAAATTTAACGATAACTGATGTTGGCAGGAAAAACAAATTGGCAGAGCCGATATTAGATAATCTACCATGTCTCTCTGCACCAATCACGACGCGAGTTCACAATGGACGGAGCCAATCACGTCACGGCATCACAATAGACAGAGCCACTCACGGCACGGCTTCTCTCCAAACCCGCCCCCTCACGCTTTTGATTGACAGTGCACTTGTCGCAGTCCTCGCAAAGCGAAGCTGAGATATCCAGAGTAAGTACTAACACTAAATATTACCTTTTTCCTGTTTGACAGTCACAAAACCCAACTTTACAACCATCACTCTCGATGTCAATTGACTATTTTGCCGTCAACTTTTACATGACGGTATACGGCAACTTCAGTCAGTCTGCATCAAATTAGTTAGCATCGCCAGCATTGCTAATGCTAATGTTTCTATTTTAAATAAACGTTAACTGTCATTTTAATAATTGTCAACAGCCATGGGTAAATATGTACATCCGATTGTCATACAATTATTACATTAACGGGCATGTTGTAATTAGCTTATTACACGTTTTGACCTGTGGTACCACCAGCATTAGTCATACAGCTACTGTATGTAGCCCTTACGACTGCGGTCAAGCCAGCCTCCACTTCGGAAAACTGAGTCAAGCCAGCATCCGCGTTGTTTTGCGGTTCAGCCCTCCGCTTCGCGTCGGGCTGAACCACGCCCCTTAGCTGTGATATAATGAGCATATACCACGGCCTGTCGTGAGCTATTGCTTAAATATGCAATTATGTGTTTTAGCTGTGGTTGTCCTTTTTCACTGTCCTCACATTATTTTTCTATTTTCTATATTTTTGCAGGCTGTGGATGACTCTGGCATGGCAGGCATGGACATGAGTGGACAGCTTGGCAGAGTGTCTGGTGGAGCTGAGGAACCAGCTGACTATGGTCCTAACAAACCAGCAGGTCAGGATCATGAACAGTCAAGCTGCTTTTCCTCTGTGCATATATAAGTTCACAATTTGAGATATTCTTGTCTTATGTGCTGTGTTCTCCCTCTCTCAGGTTAGCAACATGGACTATGACAAGCAAAAGGGTGGTTTTTGCTGCCAGACATCAGAGCAGGCTGGACACAGGGCGGTTCAGGTCTCCTAAAAAGAAGCAGGAGTTCACTCCAGGGGTGGAGAGTTTGAAGAGGCATGCTCTCACCACCACTGCCCCACTTGCACAGTGGCCAGATTGCTGCCGCCTGATTGAGGCAATCTTTGTCAGGCTCTGTGTAATCCACCGTAGTCCCAGGAAGAGGGGGACTGGCACAGTGTCAAGATGGGATCTCATCCTGGAGGACTATAGGAAAATCAGGCGCCGCATTCTGTCCAATGGGACAGTTATGCAGCAGACCACCCTGCAGCTGGTGGACGTGAGCCACACCACCCTGGTGCAGGGGCACAATAAGAGGGTGAAAAGGGAAGACAATGCAGTGGTGTTGCAGGGGCTGGTCTTGCCTAGCCGTCTGTCTGTGGCATCTGACCCTCTTCCCCCTGCCAATGTTCGCCCCCAATCAGCAGCCCCCCAGCCAGGTGTTGCTCACCATTACATCCTCCCAAGTAGCACCGTTGGCCAGGTAAAGCTAAAGAGGAAGGCCTCGCCCACAACAGAAACACCGGCAACTGTAAATCTGCGTCCCCAGCTACAGCTATTCCCTGCTCCACCCTCTGGCCCTCAGATGGTGGTGCGGCAGCTATTCCCTGCTTCACCCCAGCTTCCCTCTGGCCCTCAGATGGTGCTGCAGCGGCAGCTATTCCCTGCTTCACCTTTGGGCCATTGCTCCTGGATTTTTAATCCAGTGACCTCACAGGTGCCGGTCCAGGTCGCTGCTCCACAGGCTCCGAATGCCAGCCTCTCCTCTGTTCTTCCTGCTCCTGCTCCTATTCCTGCTCCAACCACCCGAAAGCTGACCTGCAAGGTTGTGCACAACACGTGCAAAAAGTGTGGGAAGTTTCGCACAGCGGAAACTGGACACAGCCAGTACAAGGGAGTTGTTTACTGCCCCTTGGTTGAGGCTTTGCCAAAGGAGCAGTGGCTGAAGGACATGAGAAACAAAAAGTGAAACGTATATCCGCCCCCATAGGCATTGACACTTAATTATGTAGATAGTTTGGTTTACAGTTGTATAGTTATGTGTATATATATCTTATTTATAAATTGTATATAGTAATTTGTATCTTCTATTCAAGAGTGTTATTATCATTATTATTGTTATACCGTTTTACTACTGTTTTAAATGTTATTATGTTTAACTAATTCAAAATAAAGGTTTGGCTTTTTCAAGTATACGTACCTAGTGTCTGTAGTGGAGTGCTATGTTTACAATTTCTATACTTTTTCGTTCACCTGTTCGAAAGCCAAAAACAAAATAATTATAAAACCTATACCAAGGCTTAGTTGATATTAATGTAATGGTTATATTTTAATTATTTATCCACAGCACACACACAATGAGCTTCAATAAAAATCCATATTGGTGACTTAAAAACTATCCCTGATTTAAAAAAAGTATTTAATAAACTTGAAAGAAGTAAATAAGTTTTACTTAATATTTAATAGAAATGTATTAATAGTTAACTGAACACAAGTCTTATCAGTCAATATCTCTGTGATGACCACAGCCACACAGGGTAAACCAACTACACTGCATCCTCATCTTTAGTAGTTTTGCTTCAGTGCAGCTGCAATAAAACATGCCAATTAACACCACACATTTGCTCTAAATGGTAAACTCTAGTGATGGCAGTTTGACACTGAAGCTTCNGGTATACATAAGACAGTTTATACAATACAGAATAGAGTGAATAAACATTAGTAGGTAAATAAAGACAAAGGCAGCAAGAGCTGAACCACCAGTAAGATGTTTAACAACCTGCACAGCGTGATAGAGATACCATATGCTAACCTCTCTTGTTATCCTCCCCTCCCTCTCTAACTCTCACCTCTGCAGGATCCAGCCCGCCCACGCCTAAAGGAGAGAAGGTAGCAGCAGCGTTGGCTGTGAGCACATCTTACTGGTGGTTCAGCTCTTGCTGCCTTTGTCTTTATTTACCTACTAATGTTTATTCACTCTATTCTGTATTGTATAAACTGTCTTATGTATACCTGATCTATAGTGTATTCACTTTCTATACTGCGGTTTGTACACCAGTTTCTGACACTTAATGGTCAAATCTAGTTACAAAAATAAGTGCTCCGTGATGCACTAGATGGAATTGTTGGTGTTTTACTGTGCATCAGTTTCTTTCCTTCTTCTTCTTCTTTCCATCTATTTTTTCTGTTACTGTTTCATATTGAGGAAATGACAAATGTAGACATCTGTTCCGTCATGAATCGGTCTCATCTCTCCACAGTGAGTGTTTAAGCACCGACCTGTGGGAGAGTCCAGCCGTCCATCAGTGATGAGGTCACTCCACAGGCCGCTGCAGGTTCCCTTTGGACTGAACGCTGTCTGGTGACTGACCTCCCTGTCAGGCTGTTCAAATGGGAACAAAACACACAGGGTGAATCTAAAACCTAATGCTCACTAACACCACGCATTTCACAACTAGTTCATTATTATAAATACACTTCCAGATAATAGAGACTATTGTTGCAAATCCCGTTTATTCCCTGAGAATGTCTTGTGCAGCTGTACAGTTCAAACTACTACAAAAACCTTAAAATGCATAAACTTGGTAATCAAACCTGTTCTCGGGCTGCGATGCACAGAGTGTAAGGGTTCACAGCAAGGCAGTGATGTAGTAAAACCCCAGACACCGCCTCCCCCTCCTTCTCCAGGTGGAATGGTTCATTCCAGTGTCCCCCGCTCTTATCTTCCTTGTGTCCCGACCCGTTGACCATGGTGAACATGATGGAGACATCCAAAGCGTAGTCATTCTTGTTCTCTATGTCCCACACAAATACTGCCACTGGGAGACTAGAGTCCTGGGATAAAGGAGATACACATTGGGAAATAACTTTTGGGAAACCAGCATGTCGACAGGCACCGTCTAAAATGTGCATTTCAAGATTCAAGGCTTTATTGTCATTAGCTACTGTGTAGATATGGCAATGAAAAACTGAGGTCACATGCTATTTCACCACAACCTAGAGTTTCTGCTATATATTCAAAAGTGTTGGGACATCAGTTGCTGAAATGATTTGAGGCGTTTTGGAGATGAAGCAACCAAATGACTTATGTTTGACTCTTGTTTGAGTTGGTGAAAGTAGGTGAAACATCAATCATAGTCTCGGGGTTTCCACATTTATATTGACAAGCTTGAGGGTTTTTCAACAAATACCTTCTCATTATTCAGGTATCAGGGGTTAGACATGATGCGTGTCATAATTAGATTGATGCAACAATATTATCATAAGTCTATTATAATGTATGAGGTCCAGGGATGTCTCAGTTACCTGGTAGTCGTGGGGGATGACTGGGGAAATCTGCCTGCAGGTTAAAGTGACGTTCTGTCCCGGCAGGTGGTAAACGGTCCAGGCGCGGGGGTACAAGGCGTGATAGAAGGCGTACTCTCCACAGTAGCCCCAGTTCCAGCCCTGCAGAGTGGGAGGACGCTCTACAGAGAGCACCTGCTGGTAAACCGTTTGCCCTCCACGGCGTAAACAAACTGTAAACTAAGAAAGAGAAAAGGATGTGGGCAAGTGGAGAATTTAATCTGTGGTTTAGGAGATTAGACATTTATAACCAACAAGTTCTGTATGTGCAATTTACTGTTTAGTGTACTGCCTGAGCCTTCTTTAACAATGTACATTTCCCTTCTTCGGGACTAATAAAGGTTTTCTGATTCTGAATCTTCCTACATTTCCCAGAATGCCCTCTGACAACCCCCAAGAGGCATGTCTTGAGCCTGAATCTGCCTCCAGTTAATGGTTCTACATTAGGGTGGTGTGCACTGTAGTTAAAACCAAGAGAGCCAGTTTTTCCAGGGACAGAATGAGTCACACCCTTTTCCCAAAACACACCCACCATGCATTGCAGTTAGTTTGCTGAGGCTGCTGTCAGAAGAGAATCGCCTATCTGTCTCCTAGCATTTATCTCCACTGTGGTCGTATTTGAAATATATGGTATTTTGCGGTCTACATTTGGCTCTTTCCTTTGGCGAATAGAAAACAACACCACAAATGAACAAAGTAAATACATTTATGTAGATTAACTTCAGCGGAATGTTTTAAAATAAAAAAGTGCTTTAGGGATTTGTTTTCTCATTAGCATTTTGTCGGTACTTAAAGGAGACAGTTCTTATGAATTAAGAGAATGGTTGACTCACATTCCTTACTGAATCACAGGTTAAAGGATAAACACCAACAAATATGGATTGCAGCAGATACATAAACATGTTGTTAATTTGGAAATAAATAATAACATCTTATATATATATATATATATAGACCTAGGACACCTTCACGTAACAGGCAGTCGGAGTTGAGGTGACTGAAAAATAAGCCAATGAGCTATTGTATAGGGAAAAATATATAATGCCAGGAAAATATTCCTTAAATAAGTCATTTTAATTAATGAAAGGCTTTAACCATAGTCTCTGCCTACTTCTATTTACCTGGTTTGCTGTGACAGTTTTATAGTGGTACATCCCGGGGTTAAGTTGCCATCTGCAGAACTCCCCCCTCCAACCTCTCGTGATGGTTCCTCCTCCGATACCACCAAGTGGAGCACCTGCAAATTAGAGTATCAACTGGATTCAGTCACTTCCTTATTACTTTTAGGAGCTTAACTGGTCAAATTCAAGAGTTATAGTACTGTATGTTTTGGTGAAATATTAAAGAGGATGTAATATCACAAGCTCGGCACACTGTAAGATCCTGATCTCACCATATATTTGTCGCAAGGGTTGGGCACGAAACATATCAATGAACGGAGCTTTCTTTTCCACCTGGGTCTTTTTGTACCACCACTTCAGATACCTGGATGAACACACAGAGTATACAGTACAGTTACAACACAGCACTGAATGCGCCCTAACTGCATGTGTTACTTTGAATAAACATGCTCATGATATTAAAATGCATTTATAATTATCCATACAGTGTAATTGGTTAACATGCTTTTTCTGCAAGCTCTTTTTTTCTCGCTTGTTTAAAAAGGCAGCTTCCGACGTTTGCAAGCCCCGGAACCAAAGGTGGACAACTTGCACACACGCACAGGCAGAGAGAAACGAGGGCATTGTGAAGCTGCATAAAGGAAGAGGGGAGGACTACTTTATCTGAGAGAGGTCAGCAGTGTGAGGTGTGCATGAATGTGAGTCTAGGTGCAGCACTCGCTATCAGAGCAGGGTGTAAAATATTCATTAGGCTAGGTTACAGCAGGTTACGGACAACTACAAGAGTCCGAGGGAGATCACAGTCATCGCGAGCCTTTATCTGTTTATGCTTTGATGTGTGAAGTGGGGAAGTCTCAATTCATATGCCTTATCAGTAGAAAGCTAGCTGATGCTGGGTTGAGGTCATACTTTTGTTTTAGTACAAAGGCCATGAGTTCTGCAGAGAGCCGGCTGCAATGTAATAAAAGCCCCTAATTACATTTATTCTGCATCACTTGGCTAACGCTTTGCTCCTAGACCTTGAGTGCTTCTTCAAAATGTCTCCAGAGGGCTTTAGCTAAATGAGAAAAACACAAGATGTGATAAACATGTTTACGTTCCCACTGCCAATAATGATCCTAATGTTTCTGCAGAAAGCTGACAAGGCGGTGAACGACACCAGTGAGAAAGCACTTACTAATGTTCTCACTTGGTCACTCCAAAACCAAGAAAGATCCAGTTTAATATGATGTTCGACAGATAAAAGCAGGATATCACCATAATTGATAGACTGGAACAGCATTGTTTTGCTTTAAAAATGACTTGAACGATGAATTGATCAAAGAATCAGAATAGTAAAATAGTTTTTCAGTCAATGGGCTAACCCTCTAGTCCACCATGTAAACTTATATTGATGATAAGAAGTCACAACTCTGAGAAGCTTAGTGCTCAGCATTCTTGTTTACATACGAAAATACCGAATAACTTTTGAGCCACAGAGGGCTTTCTGCTTGTAGCCATGAACATCGATCCCATGCCAAATTGCTGTGAATGCCGGAGCAGGGCCTGAATGTATTGCACACGAACAGAAAAGCTCAGTCCAGAGAAACAACAGTGAGATGAATAGGTTTGGTTAAAGTGAGTAATTCAAAGCCATGGCAGGTTGCATTATAGTCAGGAAGGTGTTGTTCTGCAGCTCAGCTGAAATTCCAACAGTTAGACCCTCACCCTGATAAGCTCTGAATAAAGGCAAAGTATGCAAAACTGAATCTAACCTGTGTGTGTGCTCAAGCTGCCATGTTCTCCACCAAAGACCAAACCTACCCACAGCTGGCAAGAGCTTGCAGCAAAAGGGCAAAGTTCCCTTACTAAAAGATATACAATCCCATTGTTACTTTCTCCTTGAATGTGTATTATAAGAGCTGTATGAGCTTGTTTGTTCTTGGTTCAGTATACTGTGCAAATAGCTCAGAAAATGTACAGTATTTTTATACATTGGTCCAACAGTAAAGGCTTCTTAAAAATGGGTTTCCTATTAACCCAGGTAGAACCTCCTACTACACAATAATAACTACCCCATTAGTGTGTACAATAACTAACTAACTATAAGACTAACCTTAAAGGGGACCTATCATGCAAATGCACTTTTGTACGTTATTTTAGTCAAGGAACTCACCAAGTGTCAGAAAACACAACCCTCTCTCTTTTCCTCCATACCCAAATCTCTAAAAACGGGGCTGCAACGGATCTGATACAGACTGATCCAGATTTGAAATATCTCTGACGTCAGTGACGAGGAGCTCCGCCTATATGGGCAACTCTCCACCTATCAGAAGGAGACAGCCATTGCCGTTTGAAAGCGCTGGATACGCTGTAGTACATATGCCAGGCCTGTAGGTGGCGCTGTAGTCTGCCACAAAAGCAGCGAAGAAGACTTCTCACATAATCAGCCCTTGCAAAAACAGGGCTAAAAAAGAGCAAATAGAGTGAAATGAGTGATGGCTAAAATGCATGATCTGTTTGGTATTTTGAAAAAAAAACTTCACAGACATGTTATATATAGGTATGGTCCTACAATATATTATTCAAATATAGCATGATAGGTCCACTTTAAGTGAGAGTTGAAAAAGATTGAGTTTTGTTTCTCAGTTTGCACATGCAGTATGTGCAATATAACCACAACATTGTAAAGGATTTCTGAAATATGAAGCAAGTTAGTGGTTTAACGCTGAGTTAAAAACATCTACATTGCACTGCGGGTGTCACATGTTAAGACAATGTGAACAAATGAAGAAGCAGTAAATAGCAGAGATTTGGATGCATAGAAAAGCTTAAAGTGACTCAGTCAAAGTACATATCTTTATGGCCATCATCCACAGGGAGTCTAAATCAGTATAAATCAGCCGAGGCCTGATGCCAGACAGACATTGACGGTCACAGAGACAGGCTCTCACGATTGAAATGATAAGACAAATGTTGCTGGCTGTGTGTCGACAATCCACTAAAGCAGCAGCATGTCTTTGTCAGGAAAACAAACAGGATCAGATCGACAGATGTTGAAATCTGTACTGGATGTTTTTTATAGCTTTAGGGCGACAATTCAGAGTTGTATGCTCTATATCTCTGAGAACTTTTCAAGCATCATGGGTGCATGAGTGGAGAAATTGGCAAATCTCAATCTTGTAAGACTTGGAAGAGTAAATGTCCTGAACCTTGAACTAACAGTTGACCTGGATCTAGGGCCAAATACATGCCCATTACCTCAGTAAGGATGGAATGTAAGCACATACTTTTGATTAAACTGAACATTTACAGAGAAAACTTTGTGTCTTGTTTGCCGTTTTTGCAAGAAACACAAAGCACTATCTTATCATCCCCACTGATAGACAAAGCTAAATGGTAGACTGTGTTGCAAAAGAGCCGTTTACTCTGTTAATCAGTTGCTACACCTATCTGGGTGAGACAAAAGCTAATACACACAGCATTCATGCGTTATCAGTTTAAAATGCATAAGAAAAAATGGGTATACTACTGTGTTGGTGCTTCTTACTGTGATAAATGCTGAAATGTATGTCATTGACACTGCTCTAAGGTAGACAGTTATTAGTTATATCATATTTAAGTTGATAGAAAATTATATTTGATAACTTGTGCCAGCCTTAACCACTTCAGGCAGGATTACCTGCTCTCTGTGGTGGCTTGAGAAATATGACACTGTATGCCAATGCCTCCCCAGGTACTCCTCTGTCAAAGCAGTCTCATGGGTTACATGGTATAGAAAGGTTCATTACATAAGATGGAGGTGTAAACTGAAAACACCCTGTGTCAATAAAGGAACTAACCACGGTGTGCTCTGAGGCATAGTGTTGATTTAATGAATTTTCAATGACAAATATTTGTAGTCGGACCAGTTCATGTACCACAGGAAAATGGGTGTGGTGCTGTAGACGAGGTGGTGCTGATTTTAAAACTTGCACAGATAAATAAGTAACTCCCATCTCATTTAACCCATGAATGTCTCACCTGATCCCAAGCCCAACGTGCTCCAAGACGTTGGACAGCGAGACATCCTTTGCTTGAAAGGGCTTCCTCTTCTCCTTGAACTCATGTGCCAGACAGATACGCCAACCCTCCTTGGGAACTCCATATCCCATTTCCTTGGAGACATACCGACTCATAAGGTCCGCTGAGGATTTCTCACCCCACTCTGAAGTAGTCATTTTAGCAGGATACAGGTGAGGGGAGCTTAAAGAATGTATGAATGGGAGTAGGAAATCAGGAAGATCTCACCACTTTGATCAAAAGTCAGTGTATGCTTTCACTGGAAGTAGCATGGGAAATCTGCAAGTAGATGATCAAGAAGTTATTCATGTGGGGTAAACTGGTTCTCATCCAACGAGTTCTGAATACCTGCATTTAAATAATTGCTCCCTCTTGTGTAATGTCCCAGTGCCATTATAATACTCTCAATATCCACAGGAGAATGTAGCCTCTATAGCTCAGTATGTCCATATCCTCAGGGGCTAGTCTCTGGATTCCTGTTTTCAGAGGTAGCAGACCCCTTGGCCTCCTTTGCATGTAGTCCGGACGTTTTTCGTAATGACAGTTCAACAAAAGCCGGGAAACCTACAATGACATCAAAGAAGATCAATTCAAATGGTTAAAAGGAGTGATCCCATCCATCTGGTAGAAATACAAGAGGGCCGATATCGTGCAAAGCCGCAAACTGACAACATTAGTTAATATGAATCATGTAACGTTAGCTACCCAACCGCTGGTTACAGTGGCAAACTTTATTAGCTATTAGCAAAAAGCTGACCATTGACAGCAGTAGAGAAGAGTAAGTTATTTGTTTTAATACCAGAAAGACGTCACTCCACAGCAGCTCCAAACCAACCTCTGTCTGCAGGACTGTAGCTTCTGCTGCTAGCGCGGTGCTCAATCTGCTCAATATGCAAATGATTTACATTTTTCGCTGTAAAATAACAAGTATATGGCCTCAGCTCTGTCTTTCAGGTGACAATTTCGATCAGGCTGCATACGCACTCCCCTTGCTTTTACAAGATTGGCCGATTTAAACGTCAGCTTAGCTAGAAAACCCTTTTTAGATTACATATTTTGAAGGTTGATAATTGATCCTTGAGCTTGATAAAGTCAAAATCAGTAAACCACCTGGTAGTAAAGGAAGCCTGATAAGTGAACCGCAGGGATACACAGTGCAGGAAACCGGCAAAGCCGCTGCTGAGACTGTACCATTCTCAGTAGAAAGGGGGACATGTATTAGTTAACACTTATACATTTCGCCTACAATTGACAGCCATTGCTCCATGTGAATAAATATAAAAGTATAAAGACCGTATTGAAAGGATTCCTGAAGAATGTGAAGTGTTAGCGCACATAATTAAATGTTTCTTTTAAATATTGAGCTTACGCCTCCCTACAAGTTACCATAGCAACAGTCCACCTCTCGCTAGCTGTGCCACGGGACGGCTTCTAAATGGTCGACCAAAGACTTTTACTGTAACTCTACACTGTCGTTTTATTTTTGTAAAAAAAAGTTCGATTAATATCGAGGTAAAACAATGATGACGGACAAAACATATTCTTAAAGAAAATGTTTTTTTCTTCTATAGTTGTGATATTTATATATTAATTGTGTATCCCTTGGTCAGTGCTTGGTCGTACGTAGGCGGATGTGTTGTTTAATGTAGCTGAAATGCTAGCTAACCTCATACGCCATGTCTAGTACTTTGGGAAGGAGGGTATATTTGCTTTCTCGAAAGTACATTTAGGTGCTCCGATCTACAAGACAGCGTTTTGCCTCGCAACAGTAACGTTTGAGGCCAAGGTATGTATGTTTATATTGACCCTAAAATAGTAGCTTTTAGCTAGCAAGCAGTCCAAACTATTCAGCTTCTGTTTAGCATGTAGCGGTATGTGCAAACCTGCAGTGTTTGATTCCAGAATAACAAAGCATGCTTGATCTCAGTGCATTATGATCGCCACATTAGTGATGTTATGTAGTAATGTAGTGTTTTTGGCGTCTAACGTTACAGATGATCGAGGTGGTGGCCTCCATGGCCCGAGGCCCTGTGTTTCTCGCCGGGGAGCTCATGGAGTGTCTCATAACATTCACCAACCCGATGTCCCACCTGTCCACCTCTGCCAGCAGGTAGGGTTTTAAAACTCTAATGTATTTACTCATAATAGGTATGATCGTTTAAAAAACTCTCTTTTGCCCATTGCTGTGTTCAAATATTAAGGTGTTCCTGAACCCTGAAAGCATTGATTTAGTTTATGTATGCAACATGCAGTGCCCATGGAGCCTGATAAGAGTTAAGCTATGTATATGTGATCCTTCGAAATGCCTTTTTTGTGTGAGTCTTGTAACACGATAAGGACTGGGACCAGTTAAATCAATCGTGTAACTAATCACTCTGTAAATACCCTTTTGTAACTTTGTGTTTTCTGCCTGTGTCTCAGTGAGATGCTGGCATGGGCCAGTGCTCAGATCCACTGCCAGTTTCATGCCAGTGAGAGCAGAGTGGCTCTGCCGACCCAGGGCAACAAACACGATGTCCAGGCTGAGAGCAACACAGTGCTTATTCCAAGCAGAGGTTAGTTTGGGAGAGGAGAAAAGCAGTAATGAGTGTACATGAATGATCTGTTATGAAGAAAGGTTCTGGATATTATAGCACTGTTGGTTAGCCTTATTGTTTTATTGTAATATGCCTTGAATCCAATCTATACTCTTTTTTTTCTTCTACAGGAGAGCGGGGTCAATGTGTACTGGACACACCACCTAAAATATTATTCTGTGACCTGCGCCTGGACCCCGGGGAGAGCAAAACCTGTATGTACATTGTGAAAAAAGTTTACATCCATACAAATCACTAGTTTTACAGTATAAAGTTTTTGGATGCTTCATATCTAATTTTCCACAAATGGTCGTGCAACCTTTATAAATACACCATTTTGTTTTTGTCTATCAGTCTGACATGAGTGCTCACTCTTCCACAGATTCATACAGTGAGATCGTACCCATAGATGGTCCTCCTAGTTACCGTGGTCAGGCGGTGAAGTACGTGTACAAACTGACCATCGGCTGCCAGAGAGTCAACTCGCCCATCAAACTGCTCCGAGTTCCCTTCAGAGTGCTGGTTCTACAAGGTCAGATACACTTTCGCCTACCCTTAAGTTTAGTTGCAAGCATTTTGCACAGCAATGCTTCCAGTGCTGATAAAGTGGCGTGACTTAAACTTTAAAAGCTCATGAGAAGTGATTACTGTGCTTAAACAAACTTTATTTAGAAGAATTAGAATGATAAAAACAATTACAACAAGAACTTGATAGCTAACATGATCCTGTCTGAACTGTAGGCATGCCAGAGCCTCCATTTCCCCAGGACGAGGAAGTTTGTCCCTCCAACCCTTTCCTGGAGGAAGAGGAAGCGAGCCGCAGGGATGCTCGACCTTTAGAGAGAGCTCTGGACATGCTGATGATCACCACATCGAGACGCTGCCTCCGTGAGTCTCATCGTCATCTCGCTTTTCTTTGCTGTATTTTGAAGCCCTATGTCTCACACCAGTTGCCTTTTTAATACAAAGCATTATTCTTTTTTAATCCGTTTTTATTTTTGTCTTTTTAAATTGAACCTTTTCAGATTATGTACATTTTATGTTATCTATCATTCCCAAGTAAAAATGTAAGTTTAGAGCTATTAACAAAATGGTGTTGCCTCTCTAGCTCAATTGTTAAATTGATGACAGCGAGATGTAAAAGATGTACCTTTGTTTACCAGCAAAGCGGCTAATTTCAAGCTAGATTTGACATGTTTACCTATTACATGTGTCCTGGATGATAAAAGTAAAAAAATATAGTAATAATAAAGATGTAAATAGTAATAGTGTTTTAGTAATTGCTCTCAATCTCTAAATATGACTTGTGAACTAAGAGAGTGGATCACATCACTCCTGCTCTGAAATCTTTACACTGGCTTCCTGTGTGTCAAATAATAGATTTCACAATCCTGCTGCTGGTTTATAAAGCACTGAATGGTTTAGGCCCAAAATACATTTCTGACCTCCTGCTAAATTATGAACCATCCAGATCTCTCAGGTCTTCAGGGACGGGTCAGCTTTCTGTCCCCAGAGTCAGAACTAAACATGGAGAAGCAGCGTTCAGTTATTATGCTCCAAATATCTGGAACAAACTCCCAGAAACCTGCAGGTCCGCTGCAACTCTGACTACTTTTAAATCCAGGCTGAAGACTTTTCTTTTTGTCGCTGCTTTTCATTGAACTATTCATATCTTAAACTGCACTTTCATCCATGTATTTGTTCGCCTTGCCTTGCCTTACCTTGCCTTGTGTTCTCTACTTCTTATGTTTTCCACACTTCTTTATTTCAATGTCCTAGTTTGACTTTATTCCTTTTGCTTTGTCCAGAAATGTTTAATATCACCAATATGCGTGGGAAAGTGGCAAAGTTCTGCATCTTCAAGATGGTTTACAGACTCGGCGAGGACATCGTTGGCACATTTAACTTCTCAGAGGGAGATATTCCCTGCCTGCAGGTGTGTTCTCTCTTCTCGTTCAAGCACACTGTGGTTCATTTTGTTGTAAAATGTTACCTTATATTACCCTGCGTGTATGTATTCCAGTATTCGGTGAGCATTCAGAGTGAGGAGGAGATTCAGCAGCAGCACCAGCGGCACCCCGGACAGATCCTCAGTGTGACAGGACACGGGCGCCACATGGAGTCGTGCCTGCACACCGCCTCCAGCCACTTCTCTCTGCCCATCCCGCTCAACGTCACGCCGGGCTTCAGCACCGACATAGGTCAGTCATCTGTCGGCTGAAACATGTCAAATATGACATCTAGTGATATTTCAGACACCGTATTTCAGATATTTTTACCATACTTATAATAATAATAATATAATACACTGTGTTCTAGCAATCAAAAATGGCACCAATGGGGCGGTCTCTACTACATTGGCTTCTACTGTAGATTAGTGTTGCTCAAAAGTCTTGACATGGAGAAGATTTGGGTGTTAGACATTTTATTAATATAATGTCTCATGAGCCATCATTAGACTAAATGTTACTGGAAATGACTCGAAGGGAAAAAATGAATAAAGTGGAGATTTTAACGATTAACTGTTTGAAAAATGTAAATAATCATACTGTTAACTTAACTATCAAATGTATCTCTGCTTCTACAGTGATGTTGAGGTGGCGCCTTCACTTTGAATTCGTCACCGCCCGGGAGCCTATGGAGCCGCCCACAGTTCTGCAGAACCAATCAGAGGTCACCGTATGGGCAGGGGCGGAGCACGTGGACGTGGACACCTTCAGCTGGGATCTGCCTATCAAAGTCTTCCCCACCAACCCGGCCTTGGCATCCTACATGTCCCACTTTTCAGGGACCAACAGCATCACCATTTGACCGCTGTGTGTGTGACTTTTTGAACGTGAGACATTCAGGCATCAATGGGTGTGTGTGAGAGACACTGTTAGCACAGGCGCACATTTCAGGAGCATTATGTTTTTGTTGATTCCATTGTTTATGCAGAGCCAGTGATGGATTCCATATGTATATTATGCAACCTATTTTTTGCCTTGTTTCTTATGCATTTTGCAGTGCATCTTAACCTTCTTTATTTTTGGACCTAATGACATGCAACTGTGTTCGTGGTTGCGGTGTTTTTCTGTATTTATTTTATTTTTGATCCCTTGATCGCATACTAGCTCTTTATCATATTAGGTAACAGCTGTTTCTTAATCCAAATGTTTTTCCTGTATTCCTTTCAGCTTGTGCAAAGGCTGCATAGAAATGTAAATACTACAAGAAAAAATAATTAAAAGTGTGATTTAAATTTTGAAAGATTAGTGGGAGGAAGCCATTTTCTTTTCTTCACAAAATTCAACATTCTTTGATAAAAACCAGATTTTTATTAAGAGGGTAAATGAGTTACAGCAGAGAACAGGTCAACAGGAATAGTTATATATATTAATGTACGCTTATATTTGCTTATATTTACAATGAGTCATTGTTGGATTAATAGAAGAAGCAAAAACATACTGAAAATAAAGATCTAAATATAGATGCTTACGTTTTTACCAAGTTGTTAACATTTAATGCTCAGTGCTAAAACATATTTTCAGATAAACATTTCACTCACATTTCCTTCATTTATAATACAATCCAGAAAGAACAAATGCTGTTATGTCTTATATTGATACAGTTTGTGAATAAAGTGGTTACTGGTATGTAACCCTAGTGAGTACTGGTTCCACAGCAAACAGCTTGAACAGGTAGCGGTGTCTGAGATGGCTTCTACCAGTCGAGCTGCTGCTGCTTCAGATCAAAGGAGCCGTGGCCGGGGTCCTTCATGCCCTCCCCGGGGGAGCAGGGCAGGCGGGGGTCGGCTGTCTGGACCAGGGACACGCTGCAGGTCAGCTGCTCCACACGCAGCTCACACCACGCGGGGAAGTCCACCGGCCGCTGCACCCTGGACCGATATCGAGGTAAAAGAGAGGAGTCAGCAGCTTTTCCGATCACTCTTAAGGCGTCAAAAAACACTTTTCCTTGAACTCTCCTTTTTTTCTTTTCATTTGACTCATTTTGCACTTATAGGTTGCCAAATATCAAGTGAATCTTCCTAAACTAAAAAGGGTTCCTTAATAAATGCACACAAACGTTGTTATGGCCTTGGAGATGCTATTAATCAAACAATAATAACAGTTCTTCAGCATGACCTTTGTTCTGTGGAACCCTTACAGGTCAAACATTCAGCTGGTACTTAAGTCAAAATGTACATAGTATTTCTAAACTGTATTATGCTATAGTAATTCAAGTTCTGCCTGAATTTTGTGCATTTCCACAAGCGATCAATTAAGTATCTTGACATGTATTAATACATGATTCATTATTAGTTGATTTTATTTTGTATTATTAGATAACAGACACATTTAGTTGAGGAAAAAGTACAATATTTGCTAATAGATTGCTGTGGAGTAGAAGTAAAAGTTGCATTAAATGGAAATACTCAAGTAAAAAGTATCTCAAAATGGTCTACACGTGAGCAAATGTGCCTGCTAACTGTCCACCACTGTACCTACATTTCTTGATGAAGACACATCCGTTTTGATACCGATTTGCTTCTAACCACATAGGTTTTGTGTGTACTCACGTCTCGCAGCAGCCGACTCCCACAGGGTGCAGACAGGTGCACTGCATGCAGGCGTTATCCATCCAGCTTTCCCCCAGCGAGTAGTTCTTCCCCTGGAACTCACACAGTGCTGCAACGGCACCAAAACAACTCAGAAACATTGCAAATATGTATTTAATTGTTCAGATTAGATTTTAAAGCATGGGATCTCACCTCTGGAGTTATAGTGGCACACCATGGGAGCAGCAGACCCAACGCTGGTCCACAGAAAGAAACCTGCAGCGGCAAGAACCCAGTTAACCCCGACGAGCTCCATCTTCATCTGGTCTGATCAGCTTCTGGTTCTTCTGCTCCTCCTGCTCCCTTATTTATACACATCCTGGGGCTTTACGAGCCTGGCGTGGAGGTGTGGTCAGACCGTCATGCGGCCCACAGGCCTGGCGGAGGAAGGTGTCAGCGGTGCCATCCATTGGGGAATGAGGAGGTGGTGGTCTGTGTGGAGAGGGGAGGGGGGGTGTAAGGATCTTGGCGGTGTTTTGGCACTCCGGAGATCACCTCGCTGCGCTTCAGTGGGCATGAACTTCTAAAAAGTGATAGAAACAATGACACATCCATGTGGTGACTAAGAGAGGGAAGGGTAGGAGAGAGGTGAGGTGGAGGGCAGGGAGAGAGGAGAGAGAGAGGGATGGGATGGAATTATCAAACATGATTCATCACCATTCAACCTTTCATATGGCTTTTCAGCCAGGTCGACGTCCAGTAACTAAAGATGTGTCTAATGCAGGCCTCACTCCTGTCCCCAGAGTCCAGAGTAAACGTGGAGAAGCAGCGTTTAGTTTTTATGCTCGATAAACCTGGGGAATTTATTTATTTTTAAATCAAGTCTCTTGTTGGCCAGTGCCTTTTATTAAATACATTATTTTCCTTTAATTTCATAAGCTGACTGCACTCTAACCTTTATTCTTATACTTTATATCCATCTTCTTCTATTTTAGATGGCTTTCTATTTCGCTTTTTACTTTCGTTTGCACGTTGTCTCGTGGTGAGCACTTTCCTTGTTGCTAGAATGTTACATAAATAAACAGACATTAACTTTTCTTCCCTTAATGTACATTTAAAACACATGCCTGATACACTAAAAGTAATATATCAAATGTCTACACTCAAAATATAGAGTAGAAAGAGCTTCACGTGTCTCCACCAAAATCATCAAGACACTAAATGAGGGAATACATTTCTTATGATTTGATGTTCATTCCTCCAGTAGAGTTAATGTTTCATTTCACACCCATCTGTACGTTTAACCACACTGCACACATACATGTATAATATGCATTTCTGCTATAACCTCTGACCCCTACCTCCTGAATGACCTCATATTAATGATGTCACACTGTTAACTCCAGTCTGTGACCTCATGCCAGTCCCATTCAACCCATAAAGAATGATGGATATGCAGAGTATTAAGTAACAGGGAACATATTAAATAATATTTATGTAATTGCCTTAATAGAGTCGTTTTGCTGCCATTTCTAGGTCAAGAATGAATCGTCAAGCTTAAAATAATAAAAAATGTTATTTCTTAATCCCATCTCTTATCACAAAAGGTGTGTGCTTGTTTTCATAGTTTGGCCTATATGTTTTCGATAACCCAAAATCCATCTTCCACTGGTCTTTAGTTTGCTGTATGTCATGCACACGTGTGCATTTCTGTGTAATCTTAAAATATAAGATGTGATCTGACCCTGACTAGTCAGCATAGTGTCGCTGCCTGGGGAAACAAAACATTAGCTCATCTTCTTCCAGTTGTTTGCTGTCTGAGGTGCGAGATCATAGGAAAAGTCCTCTCCAGCCTCTCACAGGAGGCCCCGGGGCCTCTTAACGTGGTGGTTTACGTGTTTTTTCTCTCGTACCCCTACAGTAGTCGGAGAGTGTTGATTGGCCTCATCAGTCCGGGGTGCTTCTTCATTCATTGGATGTGTATGACTCACAGTTGCCTCTCTCAAGCTGTACATTTGTTCTATGAAGACTTATTGCAGTTAAAGTATTGGTGCCCTTGACATGAGTAATACACAGTTAACAATAAATATCGTACCTGATAGCAGAGATGATTTGAGGAGGTCAGCGCCAGCGGTCGGTTTCAACCTTTAATTGATTTGATTCTGATGCTGTTTCAGACGTTGGAAGATGTTTTATTGGCAGATGTTCTTACATCAGTTCAACTCGGGTGGTGCTGACCTCTTCAGCGCCTGAGGGTCCCATACAATATCCCGACGATGAGTTCACAACCTGATTTGACAACTGGTTGTCGTCAATGTGGAGGAAAAGGGAGGACCCCATAAAACAAAAGATGAGGATTTTCCTTACAAACGCCTGTTGCCCTTCACGGATATGCATTTCATTAGGGACAAGTGCGTTTGAATTTTGGTGACCTTTCTGTGAAATGAAAGTTCAAGGGGCTGTCATCATGTTTTGTAACAGGAATGTTTTGATGGGAGTTTTTAACACATAATACATATTTTCCATATAGACAAACTGCAGCCTTAAAATCCAGTGAACTCATGCTATAAAAACTGAATCTGCATATTTCCACAGCTGTATGTTTCTTCAGCAAATAATTAATAATACACATACCAATTTCAATGCAATTTCTAGTTTAGAGTATGCCCAGTTCACATAACCTAAAATGTGGTGTATTAGATATACACTTTATTGATCCTAATTTGGGATTTTATTTTTCGTCACAGCAGATAGATAAGACATTAGACATGAATTAAAGGTCAAATGAAATACAACAGGAAATATATATATCGTTAGTGAAATATAAACAAATGACTCCACCTTTTTTCTTTATTTGGGTGGAGAACAGGTTAATGTGTGTTTGGGCTTTGCTGCTCCACTCTTCGGTGAACTGTCACTTTAATAAGCGTATTGTTAACCCCGCCTCTTTTCTACTTCCTCCTTGGTTCTATCAGACTCGATAAATCCCAACCCGATACAATGATTTCCTGTTGAATTTATCTATCGTGCTGTATCGAGGATTGACTACTCTGGCCTGGCTGTAGATTTTGGCTGATGCTGTGTTGTGAGTAGCTTATCAAAAACATTAAATCATGCCCGGTGAGACAGCGGTTAAAATAATGTCTTTACCGTGAATACACACAGTACAAGTTACATTTTTAAACTTGTCTACACGCTTATAAATTAGCTTTCCGTGTGAGAGGTAGTTTCAAACGGTGTTTTTGTGCCGAGGCCTTGTCGCAAACCCAACCGTTCGCCAAGTCTCGTATAACCGTCCGGGATTTCATGTTGTTCAGGTTTTTTATTAAAATTAAGTGTTTTTCCGTCGGAAGATGGACACTGATAAATTCAACTATGTTTACAGCTGTGACATGGACATCAATGTTCAACTTAAGATGTAAGTGTTGTACTTATAATGCGTTGCTTATGTATCCAGCAGTGTAACTAATCTATCTTGTGACTTGACAGGATACTTGGTCTGATTGTGTGTCTGTGTGAGTGTTGGACGACATGTGTGTATTTGACATGATTTTATGACTTTTAATCAAACAGACAGCGACATGCGTTAAAATGTGTATGGAGATGTATTCTTACCCTGTATTTCAATCAGTTTTTCCATTTATTACTGGACATAATAGGCATTAATTTTGATGATTAAATAAGTATTCATCTGGCCAACATGTAATCATTTGCTGTTGCTCTATGATTTACGTTGTAATAGTAGATACATAGGCATTTTATGGACAAAGTAATTGATTAGTGGAGAGAATAATATATACGTTTATTGAAAATGATCATATTCTTTATTTTTATTTCTATTGTGACCTATATATGTAAGAAGAGTAAGCCAATACTCACATATGTGAAGCCAAAGCTCTCCATAGTAGCCTAATAGGATACATTGTAAATCCTGAGGGGGCATTACAATAAACCCTTTGTGGTTTGTAACCACTCTTAAACAATGCTTTTGTTATTATATCATTTCTCTTTAATCACGTCCTCCATGCACACCACATGAAATAAATAATCAAAATGTTGTGGATTTGTAAAATGTCTAATTAACTGTCTAATGAGTCTGGTACAGAAAAGGGTTTTTATCATGATTATCAAGAATATCAACATAATGTGAAAAGGTAACATTGATTTTAAGTTACCAAAAATCTTAAACCTGCCAAGAAAGTTCATTAATTTGACCTATCTGTAAGTGAACACGTGAGAGCACTCTTGAAAGCATCAGAAAACAACGTCTCCCCTTCCTAACCGCCCTCTCTGTCTCCTCTCTTCTTCCAGAGGCAGTTTAGAGGGGAAACGAGAGCAGAACAGCTACAAAGCTCTGCTGGAAGACCCCATGCTGCGGTTCTCCGGCCTCTACCAGGAAAACTGCTCGGACCTCTACGTCACCTGTCAGGTGTTCGCTGAAGGAAAACCTCTCGCCCTGCCCGTCCGCACCTCGTACAAGGCGTTTAGCACACGTTGGAAGTGAGAACAAATCTGTCTCTTTTCTTATTTCACTCACTTAACAGACATACCCCTTTTGATGCCATTGTAAACATCTTTGTAATGTTTATTAGAAAAATGTTCACCTTCAAAAGAAATTCCTTCTCAGGAAAATACTTCTTTATTTTGCCTTCTTCAGAGCTTAAAAGACACAAACAGCACCTAAAAAACGTGCAAATCCTTTTTTTACTGTAATTAAATGTTAGTTATTCTGACGTATGTATCTTTCTTCTTACACTCACCCCTCTACAGCTGGAATGAGTGGCTGCGGCTGCCCGTCAAGTACCCGGACCTTCCCCAAAGTGCCCAGGTTGCTCTCACAATTTGGGACATATATGGACCTGGCAGAGCGGTCCCAGTTGGAGGAACCACTGTCACCCTGTTTGGCAAATATGGGTCAGTCTAAACTCGTTAAAACTGTAAAAACATGTTGGAATATTCTTTATTTTGGCACCAGGATTAATCATTACTTCACTTTACAGCTGCACTTTGTAAGATTTGAATGTTCAATTAAACAAACGTGATTTTAAAACACCTCCGACCTGTTGTCTTCTAGTATGTTCCGGCAAGGGATGCATGACCTGAAAGTGTGGCCAGGTGTGGAGGGGAACGGAGGCGAGCCCACCACCACACCCGGACGCACCAGCAGCAGCCTGACGGAGGACCAGATGGGCAGACTCGCCAAGGTACTGTATGTCTGTGGACAGGAGAATAGGGTTAAGGATTGGGGAGAAAAGGGATGTGGTGTGTTACCAAACGGCTAAATAAATGGATAAGGGAAAGGAACAAGATTAGGGACATTGTGTGTGTGTTGGAAAAGGTGGACAGATGTGTCTAAATCATCATCTGTTCCAGGGCCCTGACCTGGAGATACTAGGTGATGTGAGTACAAGAGAAGGCGTTAGTGTTGGCACTGCAGTATTTGTGCGTTTGTGTACTGTGTGTGTGTGAAACAGGCCATGGTCCAAACGTATTTGCAAAAAAAACCTCTTTTCCATCATTCACTGCTTAAATGAGGATTATCACATACAAAATAAAAACCTATTTACTGCAATACCTTTTGACTTTTGTGTGAACACTTGTCTGTGAAGTTGTACGGCTTCTTGAAAGCATCACACACATTGGGTTTTGAATTATTTTCTGCTGTTGCCATAGTGTGTGTGCATGTTTTTGTTGTTTATTTGGACACAAGAACGTTTTGGCCAACTTGTTGCAGCTTTTTGGAAATATGTATTGGTGGGCTCGTTTGATTTGAGTTCATCTGATTGGATGTTAACTATTTCATTCACAAAATACATTCAGATATATCTTTATCAATCCTGAGGGCATAGTGCCAACTCTAACTAGGGCTAGGCTTCCTGTTCATGGCCCAATGTGTGCTTACACCCCTGACCCCCCCACTGGTGAGTTGATTGGCTGCTGAGTGTGTGACCAGAGACGCTGGATTGGCTGCTGGCACTGGATTTGTGCATGATTGGGCGAGCTGTTTGCACATCAGCCACCATGCTGCGACCAGTTCTGCCGCTACAGAAATCACAACCTCTGTATTGAGATTTTAATATTTTTGTTAACCTTTTTTCCTCCTCCCATCCTCCTCCATTTCTCTCTCCATGCAGCTGACGAAGGCCCATCGACAGGGCCACATGGTGAAGGTCGACTGGCTGGACCGTCTGACCTTCAGAGAGATTGAGATGATCAACGAGGTGAGTGGGTTTAGTTGGACTGTGTTTCAAAACAGAGCTTTGTTTGATCCTAAGGCCTGTACTACGAAGCTGGATTTTCGCTTAGCCGGCTAACTTCAGGGAAAGCTCGGGGTTTCCGGTCCTACCAAGCTGGTTCTCTTTTTAGCGGGCTAGATCTCCATGGTAACTTATGCTGAGAGGCTAACCTGCTCCGGAGCAGGTTAGGTTGCAGGCTAAGAGCTCAACTCAGTGAAAGCACCACGCCTGCTGACCAATCAGAGCTCAGTGTGCGGAGTTTAAAGCGATCGAGTTATATTACAGGAGAAAGGAAATACAGAAAAGCTGCCGTTGCAGGAAAGACGGCCGGCAAAAATCACCGACTGTGTGAACGTGAACATTAATAGAATATCACCTCCCATCTTCAGAGCAATCTGACTATTATAACATTAGCGTTAAGAAAGCTTACTTAAATATCTGCCACAACATAAGTAACCGGATCAGAGTAACATTAAGTACAGTACGCGGCATATCACATCATAATGTATCATATATTTCCTTATCTGAGTCAGCTGAGCCGTATCTGGCCGTGCAACACTTACAGTGTCACATGTATGCAGAAGTATTATTTTAAGCAACACATTAAGTTGACGAAACACTCGAGACAAATGTAATTAAAGTCAGATCCACTCGTGTCTTAGACGGGGCAGTGATATCATAAACCTGTTAATCTACGCATTCAAACACTTTTTCTTTTACTAGCTGTATTCACCTTGCAGGTGCAACTATGTGGCTTTGATCCTGGATAAAGTGTTTAAGTCATGGATGTTTAAAGTTTAACGTCTTCATATGTGTCTAATTATATAGTTGACTTTTCATTCAGGAAGTATGACGCTGCGCTGTCAGTACGCTTCTCCATGTTTGTGATTGGTCGAATGCTCCAAATCACCCCCTTTCATGTGAACGCGGCACTCACTAGGAGAGAACGGCATGTCCTCATTGCGATTCCACTTGATAACCCGCGTCGTAGTACGGAGTTTTAGCGATAGCGCGTATGTTTTGGATATAGGCCACCGCTAACTTCAACCGACTATCCATGTTAGGTGAACCAGCTGCGTGAGTATACCCCCCCAGCTCCATCAAATACACCAGATGATGGGAATATCTTTAGATTCTTATACCAAGGGTCCATCCTCTACTAAGACATTGTTATCTTGGTTTCCTCAAGGTTTTCACCCGATGTGTTTAAATGCTAAGTTTCTTGTGTAATGAACCTCTGCTATGATCTCCTGGTTGGCCGGTCCCCAGGTTTGGACTGTGCAGGGCGAGGAACATCTCCAATCTCTTTCAGCGTAGCTGACGGGAGGTCCTGGGAGGTACAGGATATACCTCAAAGCTTGCGGATGTCTTCCGATCTTTCTGTTTTGTGTCTTGTGTGGTCTGTGTTTTGTTTGGAAATTCCTCAAATATATATAATGTATTATTTGTTGGTTTATAATATTTGTTCTTATCTTTTATATTCTTATAAATGATCTTTATTTGTTGTTCTTTATTATAACTGTTTGTTTTGTTTGATTATTCTTAATTGTTTATTAGTATTCATTTTGATTTTTTTTTTTATGTTATATTTTAATGATCATGAATATATTATGTGTATTAAATTTATTACTATTTCTGTGTATATTTTTAATATATTTTCTGACATGCTTATTTGTGTTTATATCATATTATCAAATTTTATTCATTCTTTCTTTGACTGCAAGCTGAAAAACTATCACTTAGTTTGCTTGTATAAAAAAGAAAAAGAGTATTTAATAGCAAGCACGTACTGTTAACGATTGAATAGATATGCAACGGTTCATCATCATCATGGTAGCAGAGAGTAACTGGATTTAAGAGGAGCTTTTATATTGATAATATGTTGTATGTGATGATAGAGTTTTTGTATTGTTATCTTTTCTCAGCAGAGGAGGAAACCTGAGAGATACAATTGTTTTTTTTTTTTTTATTATTGATAGTCAGCTAGACGGTTTTTATATCGGTCTACTGTTGCTGTTCATTCTCGTTTTACGTGATTTGTTGTTTTATTTCTTTATAGACCACAGTAAAACACCATGTGGAGATGTTTTTTATTGGTTCGGGATCACTGTCTTTTTTGTGTACATACTTTTTCCTGTAACATCTGATAGAATATAATTTCTTATATCCATTTTTCCAAATATAAACTAATGGCCTTTTTTAGACTTAAGGTAGTTATAGGAATATTAAAATTGTTTACAAACTTCTGCTCATTACAACTTATAAACTACATCTGAAAACTATTAGGTTTAGAGGTGAACAGCCTTCTGAAAATATGAAGTTAGGCACGCCGGCCGCAAGAGTGGCGTGTGTGGGCGCGCTGCGAACGGAGCTGTAGGTTCGACCGTACCCATTGGCAAGCTGTCGCGCGGTTGAGTACCTAAAGCTGTTGAGTTTAAAAAAGCATATCTTCTTATTCATTTATTTAGTCGGAGCGCGTTGTTACTTGGGCGTGGCTGGCTCTGCTTGTTTTTGTCCTGTGTGTCGTTCGTACTAGTGTGACCTCGCCCGGCGCGAGAGGGCTGTGGTGGTGTTTTATGTTTTCTGAATACTTTCAGAATATGTGGCAGCAAAAACGATTTGATTGGCTGCCAAGAAATGTTTTCAGTGGCCTGCCAAAGCACAGGTGAGAGCGCGTGGAAGTCTTTTAGACCCAAGCGCACATGAATACTGATGTGTTTGGGTGGTAATTCAATTTGAAGATGCACAAGAGTTAAAGAAGATATCAGTTTGATCAAGGGCAGCGTATATGTGGTCGATTTGAGCTACAAGAAAAGCATAAACTATACAATCCTGGTTTGAGCATCTATTCACCATCTCGTTAATTCCCATCATCGACATGAAAATATGAAAGCATGGAGTGACTTTTGTACCACTGTGTCCTATCATTCTACCTGAATGTGCCGTCCTTATCAAGATGAATGGAGATCCAGTCACGGAGGAGACATTTTCTCATTACTCTGCCTTCCTATCGTCAACCCATATTTTCCAGGGACCCTTTTCTCTCCCTTCATGGCCTACGTGTAAAGCTTTCGTCCGTCTCTTCCAGTTCAACCACTCATTCGCCCTCCTCCCATACTATCACTATGCAGTCTGCGTGTTGCTGAAAGCATCAGTAACGGATGCGTTTGGTGTTTTCCCGGGGTCCTGATCTGTTTTTGACCAGTGGAGGTCACACAGGCTGGTCTTTCGTGATCTTGATTGGATTAGCATCCGCGCGAGGGCGGAGGTAAGTCAGCGTGGAGTCGGTATCGTGCAGGGGGTTCAACACCAGGCACGCTAATGAATCGTAAACGTCAATAGCGCGTTAATCCAGTATACAACATGGGCCGCCTCAACTAATTTCATGCAAGTTTGCTGCATTGAGGACTTATAATGACTTCCCTTTTAGGGGTTTTTCCGATGGCGTGGTTACAGGCATGAGGAAAGGTAGGGGTCCGAGCGCTCTGTTCCAAGGACATTTTGAGCGAGGAGCAGATGGGTGCTGATGGACGACATCTGGCGGCACAGGCTTGATTCTGTGACCT